AAATAAATTCGTGAAAAAAAGCGCTTTCGACAAAATACTAAAATAGAGATCTATCGACAAAGTCTACTCACTTCTGCCTAGCTTAATAGTATGACATTGCCGCAGCTGATAGGGTGAGTTTCGGAAGAGATCAGTGAGAATGCTCTCTCTGGTTATTTCAGTTTCCGTTTTTAAAAGCGCTATATGTTGAGCCACCTCAGCTGATTTGGCATGTGACATTTTTAGCGGCAATCATTGGTCGATTTTTCAGCGTTGCCATTCGGGGAGTTGAAATGAGGCTTTTTTTGTCGCCGTGTAAGAGATCTTTAATAATATATATAGAGATCTTTAATAATAATAAATGCGCAGTGTGAGAAAATTTTTTTGATCGTTAAGTGAGGGTTTTTCTCTTCCACCGAAAACAAAAAGGTTACTTTGGACTTTTTTGCTCAGAGATTAAAATAGTCAAAGCAGTTTCACCTGCAATGAACAGGTGCGTGAAATTGAACTACATATCATGAACTATAATTTGTTTTCCAGACGAAAAAACTCTCTTTCATACATCTTTTAGAACTTCTCACTCCACTGATTTAGCATTATGTTTGCTAGTTCTCTTGTCTTTCCTAAATTTTAATGTGAGTGATTTCAATAACAGCGATCTCTTTCCTCTCATAATTCCACACTCTGCTACAGTTTCCATTAAAAAAGACCCTCAACTTTGTTCTTTATTTGTCATGCCACAAATAATATAGTAGCACATAACAGCAGCATTTAGAGTATGAAATCCATAGTTATCCAAGAGGCAGAATATAGTATACCCAAGTCGTCAAGTTTGCTTCCCTGCCACCCGTGCTTGAGTGCGAAATGCAATACTGTTTATAAAGAGCAAAGACGCTTGTGAAACATCTCCCACCGTTACCCTAACACTGTCAACCTTTCAGCCTTTAAACGGGCTGAAGCAATAGCATTAAAAGTCAGACGCAATAGTCAAAGAGATTTTTGGTCCCGTTATGTCTCGTTTATAACATCTTCGACTTCTCCCAGACAAGTTTGGTCGAGTGTCAAAGGAGCTAACGACATATACCATGAATTTCACCTTCCGGTAGAGAAAAAAATTTACCATTTACTCTTCACCTGTTGATGTCTGAAATATGCTTGGTGAGGCATTTGCTGCTGTCTCTAGTCCAGAGAGTTACAGTTCACCATTTAAGCATCATAAACATAAAAACGGACGGAATAACATCAGCTTTGATACGTGCTGTCTCTACCTCTATGAGAGTTATTTTAATTTTGTAGAATTACAGCGAGTACTTTATTGGTCAAAAAATACAAGCCCCGGTCCTGACGGTATCACGTAGCACGTACTCCGCCTCCTAGATGGGACGTCATTGTCACTGTTCTCGTTCTATTTAAGGAAGCATGGACGAAACAAACATACCCGCCTGGTTGGCGTGAAGCAAGTGTGATACCCATATTAACCGCTTTCCTGATTATCCCGAATTAACTCGGGTATGTATATATTGCAAACATTTATTATCCCGAGTAAACTCGGGCATAGCAGAATTTGTCAATACGTTTTGTTGTAGCTTTTTACTCGACGAGAAGCAAAATAAAAAATAATGATAATCTGCTGTTAATTTTTGTCTGCTTTTAAGTTTGTTAATTTTTGTTTGGGAGTTTTGCTGTTTATGGAACTGCACACGTGTTTTGTGCAATTGTATATACGATGGTTGATGAATTTACATAGAATAAAGAGTAAACAAATGGCACTCGCTAGCGAAAGTGAAAGTAATGCAGATTATTTTTCAGATAATGAAGATGTGAACATATACAAAGACTAATATTTAATTTTTTTCATTTGCCCGAGATAATTTGGTATGGTAAACTGTTGGTAAATGAAATATTTTTCACACAAAAAAAAATTTAAATTTCAACTTAGAACTTGTGTATTATGTTTTGTTTTAGTTCCTTGTGTTTATTAATAAAATAAAAAAATATGTTGATTTTTTGCATTTTCTTTTTCAGCAAATTGGTTAGGGAAAGATCAAAACCAGGTAAGGACCCTAAATATCCTGCTAACTATCGTCCTATAGAACTAACCTAACGTCCTGAGCTTGTACTTGAATCTAGTATGTTGATTACATCACATGATCTTTCAAAATCTGCTAGATACGTAGGTTGTGGTATCATCATCGCTGATGGTACTTATAGTTACAAAATCCGAGATATTTGACTCGCCTTCACCGCTGAAGTTGTTGCCATCCTATTGATATAGCAGCAGATATTTTTGTGCTTCACACGAAAGTCTTACAAAGACATTCTGAAGTAACAAAATAAGTAGCAGTAGTATGAGCATTTTGAACCTGTTTAAAATTTTTTAGCTACACTCATCCAATTTTATGCTTCATTAATCATTTGTTAATCACCCTTCCCAAAAAAGATTTGTCATTTTATTTAGTTTACCGAGTCACGTCTATGTATTTCAGATGTAAAACTGTCGTCTCAGAATCGGCCACTCTAGACTGACCCCTCCATCTCTAGCTCGGAGAACATCTACAATGCGACACTTTTTGTAACGTTTTTCCTACGCTACATCACATTTTAACCATCTCTCCCTGTTTTAACGAGCATCGTCTTACCTTTTTTAGTAGCACTGTTACAAGTATGAAGAATTTGTTAGGTCAAACTCTTTATTCTAACATTTTTGCATTTCTGTGAAATATTGGTATTTTATATTGTATGTAACTTTTATCTGATTTTATTCACTTTTATTTATTACCAATGTTCAGTTTTACCTATTTCATCTATTTTACGTAATTACACTTTTTATCGACCTTTTAAACATACCTGCTTTGCTATTAACCGTTTTATTAAGTATATATATTTTATGAAGATAGAACGGTAGCGTTCCTTTTTTCTTTTGATATGCTTTAAAATTCTGTTTGGCGCAGCTTCTCGTCCTATGTATCTTGTAACATTAAACACAGCATTTAACTCACCCCATATGTAATTGAACATGAATCTCAATTTAGACCTTGTACCCAGAAGTTTGCATTAATTACTTAAGGAGAATTGCTTTTAAATTATGAACATAGAAAAACAAATGTGAGAAAGAAAAAGAGATATTAATTAATATACTTTAGAGACACTATTTACAATTTTTTTATATACATATTTTAATGTGAAAAAAACATTTGCTCCTGTCGCTTCTTGTTACATATTTACATAAAAATTTTGACGTCAGTGACGTCAATGAAAATCATACGTAATATATATATATATNTCAATCATGCATATATATATATTACATATGATTTTCAGCTATAGCTATGCATATGTGTAAAGTTTAAAAAAACTGGCCTATAGTATTGTATGAAAATAATAAATGTTGTAAGAATTGCACATAATTCACGTAAGAAAGATAACATCAAGAAAACAAGAAAACGTGATAACAGCTTTTTATAGCCAACAACCAATTAAATCTCAAAATAACAGGAACCATTTGGGGAATCTTCAGTCTTAAAACAAAACTTAAAATGGCAAGAAATTCCCAAAATCCGGAATTTCGTATTCTCTACATGACTTTTGGCTTGCAAGAAGAATTTTTATCAGTTTCATTTTTCATCTTCTTTGCATTCAGTGATATTCCAAAATAAGCAACGAATTTTAAGATATAAAATGAGATCAAAATATTGTTCTAGTGTCATAGTTTGAATTGTAAGAGAGCTCTGGCAGCATGGGAATTCTTTCCTAAAATTCGGTATAAAAAATGCTTTGTAAATATGGGTTGTGTTTTAAGCAAATACGACAGAAAAACCAAACGGATCTTCCAATTTTGTTTACGCGGAAAGTGATATTTTTTTATCAACATTTCTTTGTTTTTATTGCTTTTTTTTATGAATTTTAAATGTACTTTTAAAGCAAGAGATGCAAGTCAGAAATTTTTTAAGAAATGTTATATAAACTATTATTTTTCTAAGCAAAAAAACTTTATCAAAAGCTAAACCCTTACAAAACAAATAAAGTTATCATAATTATTTATTTATTTAAAATATTTATAGTTTGTGAAACAAAAATATTTATTACGGAATATCGTAGGCTATAAACTTAAAGATAATTATAAAATATTTTATACAACTTACCATTATACTTTAGTTCCTAGTTGAACGCCAACACATTTTTTTCTAATTTAACTAATGCCAATAGGTAAACAATACAAATTGACTATCTAAGTAGTATACTTTTTTGTTACTTTAATTAGGACCTATATTTATTATTTTCCTTCCTATGGTTTCGTATCGGGAGAGTAAAAAAAATTTAGTTATTTCATAAGATTTTCATAGGAAAAGTTTCATTGAATCACTTTTTAGTTAAGGTTTAGTTTAGTTATTTATAGTATAAATGTAATTTTTTTCCTGTTTTATATTGCAATACTTATTAATTACCTAAATGTCATGTTGTTGTATTATTCTTTTTTCACTTTAGAACCATAAGAACCTACATACAATATTTTTCTTTTTATGGTTTTGAACGAAGGGAGTAATAAAATTTTAGCTATAACATTTGAAATTCCATAGCTAAATCTTTAATTGAATCAGTTTTTGTTTCAGTATTTTTTTCAAATTGTCCTCTAACTGTAACAGAAAGTAATAATTTCTGAGTTTCTCCTTTTTTTTAATCTGAACTACGAATGCTTTAAGATAAGGGCTTTACATCGAAGTGACATTTTTTGATTTATTGTGGTTGGTAAAACTAATTGATCTATTAAGCTCCAGAGATAACCATGCATTTTATACAATAAACATTTCTTTAATAATTCTTTCATTTCTTCAATTTCCTTCATTTCTTCAATTTCTTTCATTTCTTCAATTTCTTTCATTTTTTCAAAGCAATAAACTTTAGATTACTTAATTAAAACGTCATTATCCTAAACGTTCAGTTTAAAGCAATTATCACGTTACCAAAATACCTCGATATTAAGAAGGAAAATAATTATTCGTTTTTCACCTTCAATATATAACAAATTTTTATGGTCATTACTTCGAGAGATTATCGTAGTTTTCATGAATTAAAATTAAGCAACATATTTATAAATTAATTTCAACTCAATAACTATGATATAATCCTATTTCGAACATACGCCTTTTAGAAAACAAAATAAATTCTTAATTTTTGAAAACTTGCAGCATCATCAAACCCAATACCAATTTTGACTTTCATCATATACTCTTGCCAGTACAAAACAGATTAAATTAAATTCAATTACTTTCATCATGAAGTATAATTGTACTTAAATCTTGTGCCTTTTTAAGAAACATTTAAAATGAAATCAATTTCAAGTATTTGTAACTTTAGAATTATTTAAAAATGCTGAATTTTATTAGAAAAGTTACCATCAGAAAGAGGCTTGGTAATTAATTCTCAAATAGAGCTCTAAGCACGCACCCTTCCCAAAGCTCCAGGAATAAAAGTGTTTTCCATTCTCTCTCAAAGACGATTGGTTTCGTTCAGATACATTACTAGTGAGTATTGCTGAAATTCAATCCCTTAAGATTGCTCTGTGATTGGCGAAAATGTTGCATTAGATTGAGGAATAGTTGATAGTCTTCTATAGGCAATTATTTATTGATCCTCTTGATAAGCTTTAGTAATTCCATTTCGCTGGAATCGAGATAAATGGTTAATGTTTCAATTTTATCTCCATTTTGTGGAAGGTATTTAAGGTTTATCTAGGAATTGGCTATGCATCTCAAAAATAATTTTGAAAGTTTGATTTGTTGAAAAATGTAACTTTATAATTAAAAAGGAAAAAATTGCTTTGGTTTTAATTTATATTTAAAAAAATATGTATTTTCAAAATATTTTGTACTGTTATTATAATAAGATCATTTTAAGCTCTTGAAAAAAAGAGAGAATAATAAACTGAAAATTTTTTTTATGTGAAATTGTTGTAAATATTATTTTTTTTAAATAAAATCCTTAAAAGGATGTTTTAAGATAAGCAAAGTATTATACATTACTTCTTTTTTACTTGTTTTACCCTAACTTATCATTTCATAGATAAGAGTACTTTTGTTTCAGCAAACTATCTCAAGGACTACTGAACACTGTCTTAAAAAAGTTAAGAAACTTTAATTTACTGTAATTAACTTTAATTTATATTATTTATTTAGTTAGTTTAATTTATATTCGGCTCTAAGCCGATGACTAATCAATGTTCCAACTCATAGCCTTGTAATTTTTGTACCGAAGACACAAGAAGATGAAAGGAATTCTGGATTAAGCATTAAAAAAATCATTCTTCCTAGAAGAATTCGTGAAATGTCTAACCTGTATTTGCGTAACCTGGAGAAGAAAGACCCGAAAATCTCCCCCTACCATCTTGATGGCAATGGTTGATTCCAACCCAGAGCCTGTCTATCAATCTGGTCAAAACAAGTCGGAAGCAAACTTTGAATCGAGCTGCTATCGCCATGGTTTTAACCTCATTAAGACGTAAGTTCTTTATTTCTCACAAGCATACATACTTAAACATCTTATTTTAACAAAGTTGTCTGAATTTAAGACTGGTTGCTTCTGCTTTAACCCAGCTGTTTCAATATTGTCTAAGTCACCACGTTAAAACTTTGCTATAGTGATTTTAACATAGTTTTGGGTTTCAACCTAGTTTTAGGTGCGGTATAGCCAAACCATGTCTCATGCGCCAACTGAACATCACACGCTTTATTCCGTTTTTTGATAGAGTTCAAAATTTTACGTTATTTATGTGTCGTAATTTATTTTTACTTTTTACATTCTGATTTATAACAATTCTAATAATTTTACGCTGAATTTCCCAGTTGGACCTTGTGACATTAAACCCTACATGCAATTCAATTTTAATAAACTGCCATTTAATTAAAGTTATTTCCTTTTTCTTTTAAATAATAATTGAAATATTTCAAATAATATTTAAAAGTAAATGCCAACTTTGATCATAATTAGCTAATAAACAAATTTAAATGATTAAAAAAACTTCTTTTTTTTAACAAGTGTTTATATCTTTGAAAATTTT